GTCAAAACCTTTGTCCATTATGCCCTTGAAAGCAAAAAAATGCATAAAATGTGATATGAGGTAACTAATGCCAATTCGTATGAAGTTAGGAAAGTTGAAAATTTTTGTGTGCATTGTTACTTGATTTTAATGAAATTGAGTCTACATTTTTTTTTTTTTACTTACCAGTTTGGAGCGCTTTATATATGTCTCACTATTTTTCTCTTGTAGGTTCTTGTAAAGCTCTTCAATCTTGCCAGTTGGGAAAAGAAACATAGTTTTACGTCGCTCCTCTATCTGTAGACCAGCCATGAAGAAAAGAAAACCTCTTAGATAAAACAATTCTCTTAGATAATGTAACAAAGATCAACCATATTAGGCAATAAATGAGTGGATAATTTAGGAGTAAACACAAAAGTCAGTGGGGATATTTGCAGTTTAGAGGTGCATTTGGACTGTGGTATCTGTGCACCTCTGACAAGATAGTGATAGACTGAATGATGGTAAAAGTGTTTCTTTTTCATCTCAACCTACCTCAGTGGAAGATGATCAGTGTTAATAAAAAATGAATTTGAGAGAGGTGCAAGTAGATCACAGATAGAATACTCTAAATTATAAAGAAACTTTTAGTTCCAAGAGGGAACTGATGTACAGAGACTTTTTTTTTTTAACACACTGGCCATTCTCCATGAAGGTAGGGTGACCTAAAAAAAAAAAAAATAAACACTTTCACCATCATTCACTCCATCAATGTCTTGCCAGAGGTGTACAGACATTACAGTTTAGGTGCCCTCCAAACTGAAAATATCCCCACCCCTCCTTCAGAGTGCAGGCACTGTACTTCCCACCTCCAGGACTCAAGTGAAAAAGAAAAAAAAAAAGTGTTGAGATGTAACATTAACTTGCAGCATGTATGGATATAAAAGTACAGTACAGTATAATCAAAATAAAGATTTATCTTCCATCTAATTATTCAAAAGAAGGTAAGTACATGTAGTATCTAAAATTGTCTTTCAGTTAACAGCAGGGCAACATGAAAGTCAGTTCCAAGTAATAGGAATAAAAGCAAATCCATCTCAACATTAGCATTAACGTCAGTGGTTCGTTTTATTATAGGTTGAAGATTCTAGCATAGTATATTGATAAATCAGACATAGCCAATATACAACACATTAGGTTTCCCAAATAATAATAACAATAATAATAATAATAATAATAATAATAATAATAATAATAATAATAATAAAAATATAATAGAGTTGTGGATGAGTGGAACAAACTCCTGAGTACCGTCATAGAAGATAAAATGTAGTGTTGTTTTAAAAATAGGTTGGATAATTACATGAGTGGGTGTGAGTTGGACCTGACTAGCTTGTGCTACTAGGTCGGATGCCATGCTCCTCCCTTGAGTGACATGTCTGACCTCACTAGGTCCAGGCACTGGTTTAAGCTCGTGGGAGAATTGGACCTGCCTCGCATAGGCCAGTAGGCCTGTTGCAGTGTTCTTTCTTATGTTCTTATGTTAAGAAATATTACTGAAGTAAACAAGTGCCACTCTTATAATGAAAGTTCTGCTGTTCACTGACAACAGGTAGAAGCTACTTAAATCTTTCAATAAACTGGAATTTTAATTATAACAAGTGTGGATATATGAGATGCAAGTGTCTCTCATTACCGAATATACAGTGGGAAAACAACTTACCCTGGCATCCAAAGCTTTAAGTCTTTTACAACTCTCTTGATACTCATCTTCCAAAAGCTCATAGTTATAGCGCAGCTTTACCTCAAATGGATCATCACCTATCTCCATTAGCCAGTGTCGTACCTATTAGGAGAAAAATGAAAATAGAGGTAATAAAATTTAAATAATTTGACTACAGTCAAATACAGTTGAGATTTAATGGTCATTATTGGTGTTACTGTTAATGAACAATGCATTGTATCTTATTTTCATTTATCTACTACTCTAGGACAAAACTCTCTCCAGCCATTTGGCATTAATTTTTTTCAATTTGTAACTGTGGCCTCTTGCTTTTTCTCTATTTATTTGTATTATTTCTTTATTTATTTGTATTATTTTATACATACTTATACATGGTTGTCATGCATCCACCTTTCCTCCTATTAGCCAACAATGGAATTCTTAGTGTTTTGAGTTTTTCTTCCTAACTCACATTTTTCCCTCTGGAAGCTCTTTGCAGTCCACCAGGACCTTCACTGTCTCTCATGTAAGCAAAAGTTAAACAATGCAGTACTGATAATTGATATATCATTTTTCTAGAAATTTTAACATGATATACAAAGGGGAAGAGTGTGATTCAGATCTCAGAGTATATTTCAACATTGAAGGGTCTTGGTTCCTTACACTAAGTGTGTTATTTCTTAATGTACTCATTACACCATGCTTTTACTGGAGAAGGGGATTTTTTGGACCGAGAATGATGTGTGTGAGGCTGGGGCACCCCAACCTCTCACACACACACTCACACACACACACACACACACACACACACACACACACACACACACACACACACACACACACACACACACACACACATTTGTTTACACACAAAAAAGTATAGCAACCAAAATGTTGTTGAATACATACACATATAATTACAGAAAGAATGGTACTGGAGGACTGTATTAATGCAAAAAATATGAAGTTAATTTACCAGTGTCATTGGTGGAGTTTCTCTCACATAGCCATGACCAGAACCTGTGACTCCTGGGGTGATAAATAATTAATTTATAGAAACATTATTACTAGTTTTCCCACATTTTAATCCTTTGACTGTTACAAGCCCTTTCTGAAACTGTCATTCTATATCGAAAAATATCAGAAAAAAAAAAAAAATTCTTATGAAATGATAAAGAATCTTTTCCCGATGGTAATAACACCAAAAGTACGAAATTTGATCTAAAACTTATGGAAATTACGCTCCCACGAAGTTAGCAATCTTGGTGATATATACGCATCGGCAATTTCGCTAAATTTGAGCCTATTTTCAGGCCAATTCCATTATTCTAGTCGACCAAACTCATATCAATTTCTTTAGAACTCCATTTTTTCTATCAATTGAGTACAAGTAAACTGCCCATTTATCAATTTTAACTACCCAATAAAGTGGTCAGAAATTAGCAATTTGGCCAATTTTACGCAAATTAAAAAAGATGCCAATTTTCAAAATAGGGTCCAGAATAAAAATGTAGAGACATTCATGACACTAAAACTAACAAATCCTCTGTTCATTAGTCATGTCTCCAGGCCCCTCTTATATTATTCTTGCTTTCTATTTTCATTTTTTATTCACACAAAAATATAGAAGATTTACTGTATTGCAGACTACTGCATTATTGTAAATATGACATAAATAATGTAAGTTCACTAGTGAAAGAATATTAGACTCCCCAGTTGACGTGTATTGGACATGTGGTGTGATTTGTTTACTCTTCAACACTGGTAAAAATCGAACATTTCTGTTACTTTGAGCTCAATCTCAAGGTCGTTTTTATAGTGAAACTAATCAAAATCACCACTATTTCTGTAATATGTTTTCCATTCTATCAAATGAGACTATGAAAACGAGAATACAACTATAAATACTATACGAAAATACACCTCAAAGTCGGCATTTTAATCCAAAAACACAGCTTTTTTTTTTCCTCTCATTATGCACTGCGCACACTGACCACACAGATCGATTCTTTCCCATGTGGGCCTACCAGCTTTCTCCTGCTTGACTGAAGCCACTAGAATTATTGAGTATATATACGTCTGAAACACTGGCTCATAAGACGTATATATACAGCCAAAACAGTCAAAGGGTTAACCCTGGTGAAGAAGAGGCTATGTAAACATTGTATGTTTACTGTTATGCAGGCAGAATTAATATAGTCTTGTGTTTTTACACCTGTGAGTCACATGATGATAAACAACTACTGTATATACACACGATCACCAGTTTCCTAAGATATAAAAACACTGCATGTGTTGACTGTTGATGAAGAAAAAACCCATAATTTACTCCCATGTGTAATGACCTACACCTGCGGTTATGCAAAAATATGATTATTGCAATGAAAGTATCCCCCTTTGCCATCTCTTGACCATGGTCAACTTATCGCTGGTAATATGCAATACATTCCTTTATGTACTATCTTCAAAATACGTACTAAGTGGGAAGTGTAATTAAAATGCCATCTGGAATACAAAATGGCCATAATTTCAATTAATAAAAAAGCTGCCTACAGTAATACACTGGGCTCAATAATAGAACTTACCCTTATAACTACATCAGGTGGCAGTGGACTGTCAGAAGTGAAGGTTTTGGGACGATGGTTATGAACCAACTTAATCCATTTTATCACAGACAGCAGATCATCACTGAATGCCTCAGCAAAATTATACTCATATGGGAATGTTAACTTCCAGGTGTCCACTGTCAATTTCCTGTCCAGGGATTAAAATACCAAAATGTAAAAATTAAAAAAAAATGAAAATAATGCACTTACATAACAGAATTTATGTAAACTGTAAAACCAGTGATTGTGTTTCTCTGAGCTCCAAGTTTGGTTTCCCACATTTATATATAATGTAGAGTATGTGCAATAAAACATGTATTATACAAGAATGGTGGAACTGAGATAATAACTAGTTATGTATAGCTGCATATTTCACTACTGAAGACTTGTTATTTCCTGTGCACTACTCATTCTCTTTCTCTCATGCATCTTCTTCAAGCACTTATAGAAACATTATGTTTTTTTCAGTGATTTTATATCAGAAGCATCCTAACATTATAGAATAATTGTCCATATTGAAAAACACTTATTTTTCTAAGTGCTCTTATTACTGCCTATACCTATTAAATGCTTATGTTTACATTAACATGTGATTATATGAACCCCCCCTAAAATAAGTCATATGTAATAATATGACCAACAACTGAAGACAGAGGAAAAATCATTTTAAGATCTAACCATGCCTTATTCTGCTTTTGGCTAAGTTCAGGCATTGCTTCTCTCTCCTCGTGCACTTCTCTTGATTGCAAGGCCCGAGACAGTTTCCCACCAGTCACACACATTACTTTGTATTCATCAAAGTGAATCTGAGGATGAAGAAATAATGATTAATAGTGCAGCTTTCAAGTTTTCTTATAAAAATACTTGTCTGTCATACCTTAGTTATAATTACAATGTAAAAAGAGAATTGATAGTAACTAATTACGGTATGTACTTAATTCCATACACAAAATGTGTGCTTTCAGAGCATACTAGTGTAAATACTGTATTATCTACTAGCTCTAAGACAATAATAAAATACATTACCAATGAAATTTTATTTAAACACTATGTTTAAACAGTATTAAGGTAGTAGGTTGGTAAACAGCAACCACCCAGGTAGGTACTACCTTCCTGCTTTACATGATGGTAGGATTGCTGGTGTCCTTTTTTCTGTCTCATAAACATGCAATATTTCAGGTACATCTTGCTACTTCTACTTACACTTAGGTCACACTACACAACATATACAAGCATGTATATATATACATACCCTCTGGCTTTTCTTCTGTTGTCTTTCTAGTTCTTGTTCTTGTTTATTTCCTCTTATCTCCATGGAGAAGTGGAACAGAATTCTTCCTCCATAAGCCATGTGTGTTGTAAGAGGCCGAGCAAAATGCCAAGAGCAAGGGGCTAGTAACCCTTCTCCTGTATAAATTACTAAAGTTAAAAAGAGAAACTTTCGATTTTCTTTTTGGGCCACTCTGCCACGGTGGTATTTGGCCAGTTTGTTGAAAGAAAGTAAGTTTAAACAGTATGTTTATCATTTGAACTTTCCTGCATCTTCTAGTGTACTTCTTTGAACATGAGACAAGTTTTGTGTCAGCATAGTGTAATACTGTGAAATACAAAGTGTTTGTGCTGTAGTTTAACACCCAAAACATTTTACCAGAAATTATTGTGGTAATCACTTTCACTTATTCTTGGGAGACTTCACAAAACATACCTGTGTATGGAACTGTTTGTTTCTTTGCTTTTTTTCTTGTTTATAGTATTGTTTATACAAGCACAAAACACAAGTATGTCGAAACAGATTTGAAAAAGCCCAATAATGGGTGAAAACGTTTTATATAAATAAACGTCTTCAGCACAGTAATGTCTTTCTTACTGAAATACATCTCTTAATTATTTTGAACTGGCAAAATTGCTGATATTTTCTTTTTGTTTCTTGAACATAAATTTAAAAAAAACACACTGGCCATCTCCTACCGAGGCAGGGTGACCCAAAACAAAAAAAAAAAACACTTTAACCATTATTCACACTATTAGTTTTGCCAGAGTCATGCAGATACAACAGTTCAGATGTCTCTCCAAAGAGCAAATATCCCAAACTCCTCCTTTAGAGTGCAGGCACTGTACTTCCCATCTCCAGAATTCAAGTCCAGCTAACAACTTTCCCTATATCCCTTCACCCTGTTCACACTTTAACAGTTCATCAGGTCCTCAAAAACCATATCATCTAATATGCTTACACATGCCTGCTGTATAATTCAAGTCACAACCCAGCCCTCTGGATAATACTTTAGTTAGTCTGCACCTTCTCCTAATCTCCAAACTATGACTTCTCTTCATTATATTTACTTCATATTTTGCCCTCAGACAAAACATCTACTGCCTCCAACTTCCTCCTCACTGCAACATTCACAACCTACGCTTCACACCCATATAAGTGTGTTGGTACCACAATACTCATATATTTCCATCTTTGCCTCCATGGATAACTTTCTTTGTCTCCACAGATACCTTAGTGCACCACCTACCTTTTTCCCTTCATCAATTCTATGGTTTACCTTGTCCTTCATATACCTATCTGCCAACATGGCCACTCCCAAATATCTGAACACATTCACTTCCTCCATACTCCCTCCCTTAAATCTGACAAGTAATTTACTCACCTGAAGTTCCTCTGACTGACATAATATTCTGCCATTGGCCATCAGGTATGTTAGGTCACCTATTAAGAAGAAATAATTGAACACTTGTTGTAGAAGAGTATGAAAATATACAAATACAAAAATGTTAAAAAATATTTACAAGCTAATGCAATGCATTTAAAGAAAGTCACAATTATTTTTAAAACTTACTGATTCCTTAACCCTTAAACGGTCCAAATAGATCGAAGTTCAAATCCGTAGTGCTCTAAAAGTACATCTATTTTCTTTTACATATTTTCAAATGTTAAAAAAAAAATGATGTACATTTTTTTATATACTTTCAAATGTTGAAAAAACGTATATATACGTTTGGACCGTTTAAGGGTTAAAGAATCTATTAAGAATCTATCTCTGGATTTTTTTTTAACACGCAGGCCGTTTCCCACCGAGGCAGGGTGACCCAGAAAGAAAGAAACCCCCCCCCAAAAAAAAAAGAAAAAATTTTCATCATCATTCAATACTTTCTCCATCATTCATACATAATGTGCCCCAGATACAACAGTTTAGATGTCACTCCAAACAGCCAAAATCCCAACTCCTCCTTTAAAAGTGCAGGCATTATACTTCCCACTCAAGCACTCAAATCTGGCTAACCATTTTCCTTGAACCCCTTCACAAAATATTACCCTGCTCACACTCCAACAGCTCATCAGGTCCCAAAAACCATTCGTCTCCATTCACTCCTATCTAACACGCTCACACACATCTGCTGGAAGTCCAAGCCACTTGCCCACAAAACCTCCTTTACCCCCTCCCTCCAACCTTTCCTAGGAGGACCCCTACCCTGCCTTCCTTCCACTACAGATTTATACACTCTCCAAGTCATTCTACTTTGTTCCATCCTCCTAAATGATCAAACCACCTTAACAACCTCTCTTCAGCCCTCTGACTAATACTTTTAGTACATGTAACTCCACATCTTCTAATTTCCATACTATGAATTCTCTGCATAATATTTACACCACACATTACCCTTAGACACGACATCTCCACTGCCTCCAGCCTCCTCCTTGCTGCAGCATTTACAACCCATGCTTCACACCCATATAAAAGAGTTTGTACCACTGTATATCTATAGATATAGTGTGTGTTAGACAGGAGTGAATGGAGATGAATAGTTTTTGGGACCTGACGAGCTGTTAGTGTGTGAGCAGGGTAATATTTTGTAAAGGGATTCAGGGAAACTGGTTAGCCGGATTTGAGTTCTGGAAATGGGAAGTGCACACACACAAATGCATATGCACATGCACGCACGCACACACACACAAATACAATGTTTTCTTTCTTTTTTTTCAACGTACCAGCCGTATCCCAAATTTAGGTGGGGTGCCCAAATGGAAAAACTAAAGTTTCTCCTTTTAAATTTAGTAATATATACAGGAGAAGGGATTACTAGCCCCTTGCTCCCGCATTTTATCGCCTCTTACGACACGCATGGCTTACGGAGGAAGAATTCTGTTCCACTTCCCATGGAGAAAAAGTTTGTACAAAGTTTATGTACATAAAAACTGTATTGACTGATAGTTGGAAAAAAGTATTCTGGCACAGTCGAGCTATGAGAAACAAAGTATAAACTGTGATATAATTCTTACCAAGAATGAAGTACATGTGATGGCACTTCGAGAGCTCTGCCCCAAAATCTAATGTCTCCTCTAGCGATCAACTGGAGCTGCAGACTGTTGACTCTTCACCTTCCTTCTTAATGCAAGTCTCCACATGAACTTTTTGACTTTCTGGAACTAAGATTACAAATAATACCACCAGTCTTCTTTAATGGCACTTCAAATGATGTATTCACATGCATATACACTTCTATTCTCACTAAAATAAATGCTCACTTTCTCAACATGCATATACACTTCTATTCTCACTAAAATAACTGCTCACTTTCTCAACATTATTTTCTTCACCTGCTTTTTACCTTTAAATAAATCTGAGTAAAGTTTCTTCAGTATTACTGTGTTTACATCCATTCATTCACTCATACACAGGTTACACACATCACTCAAATTCTTCCCATAATAAATCCAATTCTTCTCTAATGATCAACATATTTCAGTAGCATCAAGAGTATTTAACATCAATTTACAAGTTAAGCCACACTGACTCCTTTGTACAAGTCTTTAACCATATATGCCCTCCTCATCTAACACTAAAACACATTACGTACTTATGCTTTAAGGCATTGATCATTTTTTCCCTTAATGCTACTAAATTACTAAAAAAGACTGGGAAAATTACTGATAGGTGCCAGATCAACCATGCTGTGATGGATATGTGGTCAGCAGGCCACCATCAGCAGTAGCTTGGTTGACCAAACAAGCACCAGACAAGCCTGGCCCATTTCCAGCTCTGGAGAACAAAAACTCTAGGAACTTATTAAAGGTATAACAGGTTTCCTTCATATTAAGAGGTTTTACTTCATGCAGTGACCCAAACTTTACCAGTAAAATTTTTTTATAAGGGGTATAATTTTTCTTATGCTATCATTTAATCCTCGCCTCACTTTTTTATCACCATTCTGTATCTTTATACTGCTCTAAAATAATTAAGTCAGACAGTCTGAAGAAAGAAACTTATAAAAGAAAACAGTTTGGGCATAGAAATATCAATGAGCACATTCTGAACAGAAATCCTATAATCAGTTTTCAATTGAAGTCTTGAGCCAAGTCAAAATATAACAGAGGGAAGGGAAGGGAAGGGGAGGGAGGAAGGAAAGGGGAGGGAGGGGAGGGAGGGAGGGAGGGAAGGGAGGGGAGGGGAGGGGAGGGGAGGGAGGGAGGGGAAGGAGGGAGAGAGGGAGGGGGTGGGAGGGAGGGAGGGAGGGGGGGAGGGAGGGGAGGGAGGGGAGGGGGAGGGGAAGGAGGGAGGGAGGGAGGGAGGGAGGGAGGGATGGAGGGAGGGGATGGGAGGGGGGATGGGAGGGGAGGGAGGGGAGGGAGGGAAGTGAGGGAGGGAGGGAGGGAGGGGAGGGAACATAAGAACATAACATAAGAAAGGAGGCACACTGCAGGAGGCCTGTTGGCCCATACTAGGCAGGTCCTTTACAATTCATTCCACTAACAAAACATTTGTCCAACCCAATTTTCAATGCCACCCAAGAAATAAGCTCTGATGTGAAAGTCCCACTCAAATCCAACCCCTCCCACTCATGTACTTATCCAACCTAAATTTGAAACTACCCAAAGTCCCAGCCTCAATAATCAACTAGGTAGACTGTTCCACTCATCAACTCCCCTATTTCCAAACCAATACTTTCCTATGTCCTTTTCTAAATCTAAACTTACCCTAATTTAAATCCATTACTGCGGGTTCTCTCTTGGAGAGACATCCTCAAGACCTTATTAATATCCCCTTTATTAATACCTATCTTCACTTTACCCCTTTGATCAGGTCTCCCCTCATTCTTCGTCTAACAAGTGAATGTAACTTAAGAGTCTTCAATCTTTCTTCATAAGGAAGATTTCTAAATTGCTATTTTATTAATTTAGTCACCCCTACGCTGAATGTTTTCAAAAACGAATTTATTCCATTTTTTGTAATATGGAGACCAGAACTGAGCTGAAATTAATCTAGGTGAGGCCTTACTAATGATTTTAAAAAAGCTGCGTATAAACCTCGGGAAACTTCGTTGCTTACATTTCCCTTGATTAAATCCCAGTAATCTTTTCCCCCTTTTTATACTTTAGGCATTGCTGTTTTGGGTTTAAAGGTTGTTTGCTCACCAAAACCCCCCAAGCCCTTTTTTTGCAATCTGTATGGCTAATTTTCTACATAAATTTTAACTTATAATTTACTGGGGTTAGGGGCACCCCAGCCCCAAAACCCTTTCATTTATCTACACTTGAACTGCATCGGGCCACTTTTTTGACCAAGAACAGATTTTGGTTTAAACCCCCTGAATTTCCCCATAACTCTACGTTTAAATAAATTTATCCTATTTTTTTGGTGTCACGGCGTTTTGCTCATTACTAGAAATTTCCCCCAAATCAAATCATTGATATTATTAAAAACCCAACAACGAGCCCAAAGATCCCTGTGGAACCCCAAATTGTTACGGGATCCCCTCTCTTTTTTAAACCCCCCATTTAGGGGACACTCTTGTTCCCTTTGTCAGGGGACCCCTACCCGATCCACGAGAGCACTTTTCCCCCAACCGGGCCCCTTTTTTAAAAGGGGGGGAAATTTAAAAAAAAAAATAAAAAAAATTTTTTTTTTCCCCCCAAAAAAAAAAAATTTAAAAAAAAAAACCAAACCCGGGTTTTTTTTTTCCCCCCCCCGGGGGGTTTTTTAAAATTGGGGGGGGGGGGGGGGGAAGGGGGGGGGGGGGGGGGGGGGGGGGGGGGGGAGGGAAGGGGGGGGGGGGGGGGGGGGGGAGGGGGGGGGGGAGGGAGGGGGGGGGGGGGAGGGGGGGGGGAGGGAAGGGGGGAAAGGGGGAGGGGGGGAGGGGGGGGGGGGGGGGGGGGGGGGGGGGGGGGGGGGGGGGGGGGGGAGGGGAGGGGGGGAGGGGGGGAGGGGGGGGGGAGGGGGGGAGGGGAGGGGGGGGGGGGGGGGGAAAGGGGGGAGGGGGGGGGGGGGGGGGGGGGGAGGGGAGGGAGGGGGGGGGGGGGGGGGAAGGGGGGGGGGGGGGGGGGGGGGGTTTTTTGGGGGGGGGGGGGGGGGGGTTTTTTTTGGGGGGGGGGGGGTTTTTTTTTTGGGGGGGGGGGGGGGGGGGGGGGGGGGGGGGGGGGGGGGGGGGGGGGGGGGTTTTTTTTTTTTTTTTTTTTTTTTTTTTTTTTTTTTTTTTTTGGGGGGGGGGGGGGTTTGGGGGGGGGAAAAAGGGGGGGGGGGGGGGGGGGGGGGGGGGGGGGGGGGGGCCCCGGGGGGGGTTTTTTTTTAAAAAAAATTTTTTTTTTTGGGGGGGGGGGGGGTTTTTTTTTTTTTTTTGGGGGGGGGGGGGGGGGGGGGGGGGGGGGGGGGGGGGGGGGGGGGGTTTTTCCCTTTTTTTAAACCGCTTATTTTTTTTTTCCCTCGTTTTTCCATAGTTCTTCCCCAAAAACAGTTAAAAATACTTACCCCTACACATCACCAATCGAACTTCAATACACCTTGGCTTTTTTGCTTCCAGCCCCAAAAATTTTCCAGATCCCAGGGGCCCTTCAAGGGATTTAATTCCCCCCAAATTGTACCCCTGTTTGTCTAAAAAGAATCTCAGTTTTTTGGGGGACTATTTATTGAAACTGGGCCCCATGTTATGAAAAGATGCTTTTTAATACGCCAAAATGAAAGAAATCGGACCAAAATAATGGATTCCTTTCTCACCCATGCCTTCCCTTAGTGGTATATTTTGTAGGATTTTATGGTCGTATTCTCGTTTTTTTTGGGTTTCCCATGTAAAAATGGAAAATTACTACAAAAAAAAAATATGATTTTAATTGGTTTCATGATGAAAAGTCCCTTGAATTGAGCTCAAAATAGCAGAAATGTTCGTTCTTTGGCGACATCAGTGGTAGACAATGAGGTAGTGGGGGTTAACAACTGAAGCAGCAGGGGCAGACAACTGAAGCGAAGTGGCAGACAACATGAGCAAACATGGCAAATATGAGGTAGCAGTGGAAGACAATATAAAGCAGCATGGCAGACATCAGAGGTGCAGTGGCAGACAACTGACGCACATGGCAGACAGCCCAAAACGGGCAGGGCAAAAATGCAGCATTAAGAGTGTAAAACAATTAAGTGTAGCATTAAGAGTGTAGCCCTTTTAAAGTCACTCTGTTTGACTTTTTTGGGGTTTTCCCGGTTCCCACACATGTAGTAGGGGCAGACGGCCGTTGGGTGGCCCTAAAACCCCCAAAAAAACAATGGGGCTTCCCACCACTACCCCCTACCTAAAACTGTATTTTATTCATTTATGTATATATAGTTTCTATGTTATTAATACTGTTTATTTGTCATATGAATGAATTTTGATAGATAAAAAGTGTATATTGTACTAGGGAAATTTTAAAGTATTTTTTGTGCCTGGAATTTCATGGAACAATTAATTCCATTTCAGTTAATTTAAATGAGAAAAAGACTCTGCAAACGAGCAAAACCGTTGCGAGCGGGTCATGGAACGGATTAAAATCGTAATGAGGTTCCCTGTATTTATAAAAAATAACTATTCTTGGGGAGCATTACAGTAATAAAAAATTTAGTAAAAAGTAACAATGATATTGTAAGTACTTTATATAACAAGGGTTTTACATTATGCCCCACCCCCGTATGTTTGGAAATTTTTAAGGGTTTAATTGTTTCCCTTTTGACTTAAAACCCGGTTGGGTTGGGAAACCAAAATTGATGGACTGACCCCACGACTAAGGGGTTTAGGGGGCTGATTTCCTCATTCTCCTCCCATTTTTCAAAATTTTCCCCTTTTTTTTGGGCGATGAAGCCACTGTGTGGTGAAACGTTTTCCCTCAAAAAGATAACCCCCAAAAGGGTGACGGTCTAATTTATAACGTGTCGGTTCTCTGAACCATTTTTCTACAAGGTGGGTAGGTACATTAGTTAGGTAGGTAGGTATGTTAGGTAGGTAGGTAGGTAGGTACATTAGGTAGTATGTACTGACAGGTTGATAACATGTGCACTTCAACCCAAAGACTGTATGATG